CGATGCGTATGCGATAACTTTTTCCTTTTGCATCAGTACACATCCCATCCCTTGATGTGAAGCATCACAATAGACTACAAAATTGTCTACTCCCTCTGGTAAGGCCAAGATCGGTGTGTTGCATAACTTGTGTTTGAGTGTCTGAAAGGCTTCCTCTTGTTTCTCTCCCCAAATGAACTTCTTATCATTTTGGGTTAGAGTTGTTAGTGGTTGCGCGATCTTAGAAAAATTCTCGATAAATCACCGGTAATAACCTGCCAATCCAAGAAATTGGCGGATCTCGGTTGGTGTCTTCGGGGCTTCCCATTTCTTAATGGCCTCAATCTTAGCTGGATCAACTTGGATTCCTTTTTCATTCACCACGTGGCCAAGAAAGTGCACTTCACGAATCCAAAATTCGCATTTAGAGAATTTGGCGTACAACTTTTCGTTTTTAAGCAATTGCAGTATCAGTTTTAAATGTTGCTCGTCTCCTTTTTGTCTCGAGAATAAATAAGTATGTCATCTATAAACACGATCACGAACTTGTCTAGATACGGTCGACATACTCTATTCATCAAATCCATGAAGACTGCTGGTGCGTTTGTTAGACCAAAAGGCATGACTAGGAACTCGTAATGACCGTATCGAGTCCTAAACGCCGTCTTGGGAATATCCTCTTCTCGCACTCTCATTTGATGATATCCAGACCTAAGATCGATCTTCGAGAAGTATGCAGCTCCTTGAAGTTGGTCAAATAGGTCATCAATCCGGGGAAGGGGGTATCGGTTCTTAACAGTCAACTTGTTGAGTTCTCTATAATCGATACACATTCGAAAAGATCCATCCTTCTTTTTGACAAACAAAACTAGAGCTCCCCAAGGTGAAGAGTTGGGTCTGATAAATCCTTTATTGAGTAATTCCTGAAGTTGTTCCGACAGCTCCTTCATCTCAGATGGTGCTAACCGATATGGTGCTTTTGCCACGGGTGCAGCCCCAGGAATTAGTTTTATATAGATCTCAACTTGTCTTGGTGGGGGTATTCCAGGCAATTCATCTGGGAATACTTCGGGAAAGTCCCGAATTATAAGAATATCTTGAACGCGTTTTTCTTCAGCTTTCTTATCCATAACGTGAGCTAGAAAGGCAATGCAGTCCTTTCTCAAATACTTTCGCATCTTCAAACACGTCACTATTTTAATACCCCTTCTGGTTTTCTCTCCGTGTACTTCGAGTATTCCCCCTTCGGGTAACCGAATTCGAATGATCTTCTCGAAACAACTAATTTTAGCTCGGTTCTTGATTAACCAATCCATGCCCACAATTATGTCAAAACTTCCTAGTTGGATCGAGATTAAATCTATACGAAAATCCCTACTAGTCAAGTTTAAARTGCARTCCATTATTAYGTCTTTGGCCTTACACTCTTGACCGTTGGCATATTCAATGATGTATACTTCTTTCAACTTTTGAGGTCTTAGATTTATTTTTGGTCTAAAATCTAATGACACAAAACTCCTATTCGCTCCAGAATCAAATAGTACAGATACGTAATGATTATAAGAGAAACGTACCTGTAACTACATCTGGATTCTGCCTTGCTTCCTCAGCTCCAATCTCAAATACTCGGCCTCTTGCCGGACCTCCTTGATTTCCTTGGTTGGCTGGTCGTGCTTGGTTAGTGTTCGGTCTCTGGTTCCATCGTGGACATGCATTCCGAAAGTGATCTGGGCTTCCACACTCGAAACATGCCCGCGTTCCTATGCTCCTGCAATCTTTGGCATAGTGACTTCCTTTGTTGCATTTTTGACAGGTAATACATCGTCCGACATGTTGTTTATTGCACTTCTCACACCTTTGATAAGTTCTTTTATCCTTCTCTGCTGATTGAGTCTGAATCCCGTAGTTTCCTGATATTTTCAGAGCCTTTCCCATTCTTCCCCCAGACTGCCTTCGTGTAGGTTCCTCCATCTTTCTCTTCCCTGAAGCCTTATCTTTTACAAACATTCCCGAACGAGTAGCATTGTTGGTGAGTTTGGTTGCCGAACTTACTACCTCTTGTAGGGTATTTGGGTTTGCCAAAGTAACATCCCCGCGTATCACCGAAGATAATCCCCAAATATATCTATCAACTCGATTATCTTCGGCTGTCACTAGATGCAGTACCATTTTTGCCAACTCATGAAAACGTGCAGTATAAGAGTCTATATCATTTCCTCTCATTTCATGATTCCATAATTCTGCTTCCAGTTTTTGGATCTCGCTCCTTGGACAATACTCTTCTTTCATCATCCTCTTAAAATCTTCCCACGTAAGACCGTTGGCGGCTTCTCGGCCCCGAGTTTGTACTTGGGTATTCCACTAAGTTAATGCTCGTCCTTGTAATAGACATGCAGCAAAACTCTACTTTCTTCCCTTCGGTACATTTGCTAATATGGAGCACAGACTCCATGCTCTCTAACCAAGTCAGTAATCTCACGGCTCCCTCAGTCCCATGAAATTCCTTCGGATTACAACTCCTAAAGGATTTGTACGTACATTCTCTATTTCCCGACCCTTGATTGTTGTTTTGATTATTATTCAGGCCAGCTGCCACTTGGCTAACAATGTTTGGAAGTGCAGCCATGAGTTGCTCGGATACAAGTCGTGCAACTTCAGAATCATCCCTTCTCGGAGGCATTGTTCTAAAACACAATTTTAAATTAGGTTTTGGTCAACTTATGTTACTATGGCCATAATAAATCTACTTACTAAATCATACGTATCTTATAACATACATCTAACATTATTCATGAAAACATATACTCCAAAACAACATGTGATAAATAGATAACATGCATAAATTTCATAAATAGCCAAAGCAAACCAAACATAAGTTTTAAAATACAAACCAAAAGACATTAAATTGTTTAAATTTAAACATATAGGCTACAAGCCCCAAAAGAAGGTATTATCCACCCAAAAGTTTCAAAATGACGGGAGTTCCCTAACGCATTAACACCCTAATCAATATCCCTATTATCATCACTAGGGGTGTAAATGAGACGAGACAACTCGCGAGCTACTCGAAATCGACTCGGTCAACACTCGACTCGAATAAGTTCGACTCGAACTCGAGCTCGACTTGACATACTAACGAGCCGATCCGAGCTATCTGATACTCGACTCAATAGGCTCGTGAGATACTCGAATATATTTTTTATATAATTAATTATATAATACATTTTATAGTCATTAGCCCAAACATATAAATTCTTAAGCCCACCCTCTTAATGGACCAACCCAAACAGTCATATGAGCAGACCTTTTGACCATCGTTTACCCTTTTCTCTCTAATCTTCTCTCGAATTTTCTTCTCGACTTCTCCAGTCTCCCGTTGTCTCGCACAACCTACTGCCCTACTCAACTACTCTCGTATCTCGTCGCTCGCACTCGCAGACCTCCAGACCGCAATCACTCTTGCAGGCTTCACTGTCGCCGGTATCGCCTACTGCCGACGGTATCACCTACTGCCGGTATCGCCTCCTGCAGATCCTCACGGGTTGACCCCTCTATCTCTCGCTCTCTCCTCTTCGCCTTCAGTTCCTCACGCCGGTATCGACCACTCTGTCTCTCGCTAATAATTTCATTTTTTGTAATTAATTTCTCAATTTGCTACGCCTAGGATTATGGATTATGTCCATTACTGGACTGAATTATCTTGAATAGTTGAATGCAAACAGGGCAATTTTTCAATTTTTTCTTAATTTGCTACTCCTTTATCTTGAATAGTTCAATTTTTTTTTCTATTAAGGTTATCTTATTATATTCTGTTTTAGGGATTTGTAGTCGTGAAATAAGAACATGGAGAGTTAATAGACAAGATTCATAGTGAATATTAGAAAATGGAGAGTTATAGACTAGATTCATGGTGGATACCTTGTTTCGCCTCTCTACATTTATACCTTGTTTTTTTTTTTTGCACAACTTGTTAGATGTTCTCTTAGACACGGTTTTCTTAGACACTCACATTTTAATATAGATCTGTAGCCAGTGAAAAATGGTCTGTGATGGAGACATCAAAATTTTCTCTGTTTAATGAAGTATTTTAATGATCGTTGACCAAACATTTACAATTCTAGAGATGTCTAGTGGACCACAAGTATCTTCCATGGCTGTTGGTGTTCCAAACGAAGATTTGCATGTAATTGTTGATGAAGGAGGATAAAATGAAGGGGATAACGTGTCAATGGAGGTTAATGAAGAGCCTTGTGAAACCCCCCTTAACACCACAAATAAAGAAGCTGAGAATGATAATAATCCGTTTCATAACTCTAAAAGACCAAGAAGATCAAAAGTATGGGATGAATTTTTTGATCCTGATATGATAAAAAATCAATGGAAAGTAAGGTGCAAGTATTGTAAAACTCCTTTTTCTCTTTTGAAATCTAAGAGCACTACCCATATGCACCGACATTTGGAATCTAGTGTTATGAAAGCGAAACACATGAGACAACAAAAGTTGATTAATTTTTTGTCATCTGATTCAAGCACTGGTACAAATCAATCTGGATTTGTTAGTGCTTTACATAATGGTAAACTTGACATGTTAAAGATGCGAGAGGGGATAGCCCATTGGATCACTATGCATCTTTGTGTACTAATAAAACTTAATCTTTGTGTATTCGTGTTAGGTTTTCACAATTTCTGTGGACAATGCATCTGCAAATGATTCTTGTATTGCAATTTTGAAGGATAATTTTGAATCAAATGGGAGGCTTATTTRCGGTGGAAAATTGTTTCACGTCCGATGTTGTGCCCACATTCTTAACATTATGGTTCAACATGGTCTTCAACAAGTGAARGATATTATTGTGAAAGTCCATGATACCGTTGATTACTTGAACTCAAGTGAAGCACGTCTTAAGCGTTTTGGTGAACTTGTAAGCCAATACAMCATGAATCATCGGAAGTTAGTTCTTGAATGCAAGACWCGTTGGAATTCAACATACGATATGCTAGATTGTGCCATCAAGTTTAGACAGGTATTTCCTCGATATTCTTTGCATGATCGTAATTATACTTCTTGTCCGACTGAAGAGGAATGGAGTAAGATTGCAAAATTGCTCGATATATTGAAAATATTTAAAGATGCTACTAACTCCATATCTGGTTCTGAATATCCAACTTCCAACTTGTTTCTTGCTGAAGTACAAAGGATTAAAGTTATGTTGGATAAACAATCTCAGTCGAATGATGATTTTGTTAGAAGTATGGTAAACCACATGAAAGAGAGATTTGATAAATATTGGGGGGAATGTAACATGCTAATGTCAATAGGGACCGTGTTAGACCCTAGATTGAAAATGAGGGCTATAGAGATTGCATGGCCTAAAATGTTTCCTTTAAGTGTAGCTCGGGATAATATTAGTAAAGTCAAAGAGGTGATGTATGAGCTTTTTGATGAATATGTGAGAATGTATTCTTCTTCTATTGGGGATGAAAGTGTCGAATGTGAATTTGGATCAAATACTCGTGAAGGAAATGATGGWTCTAGTGGTTTATCTGAACTTTTGTTAGATGTTTTTAGTGGGGAGACATCGATAACTCGTGTGAAATCTGAGCTTGACATGTATCTAGAAGAGGGGTGTTTTCTTTAGTCAAGACTACAAATTTAATGTGTTATCTTGGTGGAAGGAACAATCAAACAAGTTCCGAATTTTATCTAGAATGGCTACAAATATCTTGTCTGTTCCTATCACTACTGTGGCTTCGGTGGCAACTTTTAGTGCCGGTGGTCGTGTAATAGATCCTGACAGAGCTTCTCTTGCTCCGGAAACGGTCCAAATGTTGATGTGCACGGGTGATTGGTGTAGATCACTCCATGGCGTGAAAAGGAAGAATAAGGTAAATGTGTAAATATGCTAAGTTATTTATCTTTACCTTTAACATGTACATTAATTTGTTTTTGTTTTTATTGTAGGGGAACGAAGAACAACCAAAGGAAATCTTTATTCAAGTGCCGTTCATGGAACCCGGGATTTGAAAGCGAAATAAGATTGTTGATTTGTTGATGGATTTATAAGTATTTGGTTTTAATATTGTATTTCTTTTGACTTCGTTTTGATTTGTTGATGGATTTATAATTTGGTTGTAAACTCTTAATTTTCCGGATTTAATTTCTTGGTTTTAAATTTATTTTGAACTTCATATTATTGTTATGCATTAAACGAGTTCGAGCTCGAGTTCGAGCTTGATTCGAGTTCGAGCTTGATTCGAGCTTAGTTCGAGCTTGATTCGAGTTCGAGCTTGATTCGAGCTTAGTTCGATCTTGAATCGAGTTCGAGCCTGAAAAATAGTTATCGAGTTCGAGTCGAGCTTCGATTTTGACTACTCGCGAGTTTTCGAGTCGAGTTCGAGCTTCAAAATTAGGTTTCGAGTTCGAGTCGAGTATAATGATACTCGAGCTCGACTCGCATCATTTATACCCCTAATCATCACCAAAGCTCCTACCGCCCAAAACAAGTACGCGTACAATCTCCGAATTGCCCTCCTAGTCTCGAAAGCGACCTCCATAATCCCCGTAGTAAGATCATCCTGTGTGAGCAAGACTGTAAAAATGTCGTCTAAGGACTGCTGGACGTGATCAAGTGTATGACGGTGGAACTGTAACTGACTGCTCAAGCCTGAGGCCTAAAAGTTCTTCGCTGCAGTCATGCCCCGAGGCTGTGGCATAGGAACTCCAATTGGTGGGGGAGGAAGGTCATGCTCCGCGATCGGGACTGCGATCCGGCTGGCTCGCTCAGAGGCTCGGAGGGAATTGCGATAGTCACCCTCCTGGGAGGGAGATCACGCTTTGGGGCGGTTCTCATGATCCTAGGTCCTCGCGACGGACCAGCCACATCAACCGGAGGTGGCGTAGGTACAGATGATTCAACAGAAGTCTCTCGGGTGGCTGCGTCACTTTCCTCGGACGGGTTGGTTTCTCCTAGGGAGGCTGGTAAAGTAACCGTAATCGTCAAGGGAGTGCTCAGGGAGTGAGGATGAGTGAGACATTTTTAAACTGTGACAGTAACAAATTTAATTACTAACTGTACCTAAGTAAATAATAATTCATAAAATGAAAATACTCATGCAACTCACAATTATGCTTTTCCTTTGGGCAAGAAATTTTTATTTTAGCCGACTTCCAATATAATTGTTCCTTGTCCCTCCTTAAACATATTAAATTA